TTATTTTATTTTTCACATTTTACTTTGTTCTTTATTTTTGCATAATTGGCTATTTGTTTTGTTGAATTTAGTTCTTCCATTTAGTTTATAGTTTGGCTTTGATTTTTCAATATGTGTTAGGGTAGACATGTATGTTCCCTTAGAATTTTCCTTGGATTTTTAGAACAATATTAGGATCTGTTTTAGGTGTTGAGAATAGGACCCTCCCAAACATGTGGATTTCCTTGACCTATCTCAATGTAGGAATTGTTTAAATACCTTAGAAGTAAATTTTGGTTTCAATATTTTTACATTAGGTTATTAAAACATTCATGTTCCCCTAGGAATTTTATTAGATTTTTGCAACTTGATTTTCTATTTTTGTTGTATTTTGCAAATGGCTTGTGTTTATGATTTTCTCTCTTGAGTGCTTTGGTTTGTTTGGTTCGGTTGGCTGCCTTGGAGTTGGTTTGAGCTTGAGTTCTTTTTGTTGGAGCTTCTGGATTCATTGAAGATGCTTAGGATGAAGGATTGGAGCTTGAGGTTGTTTGCTTTTCCTCTTGTGGAGCTTTTGTTTAGGACTTCAGAGAATTAGGGTTTTAGGAAGTGCCTTAGACCTAGTTTTGATTCTTTCTTCAAACATGGAGTGCATTATTTGCCTCCATTCTATCCAATGACACAAAGTCCTTCTTGGGAAGATCCATCTCTCCTTAGGAGGGATGAGTGGTATGCCCAAGTGAGTAGAACTTTGAGGATACCTTTCATTTGTAATGTTGAGTTCTTAGTGATTTCCTTTGGTTGTCATTAAGTTCTTTAACATTATAACTTGATCTTGATGTTTAATCCTCCTCTTGGAGTGTGCTTGATGAAGCTTGAAGATGAAGCCCTTGCTGTCAACTTTGCTGTCAATCCAACTTTGCTGGTTAGAGCTTGCTATTGTTGTTACTGTAGGAGTCTGGTATTGCTGCCTGAGCTGCCTCCCCTGAGTCTTTTGTTTTTTCTCTGTATTGTCTGTTTAATTGTGCTGATTACCTCTAGGCTTGAGGTGGAGCTTGTATCCTCTTGCCTATTGTTTTCTCTCCTGCCTCATTGGTATTGCTGCATTGCATGCATGTTTACTGTTTACTGTATTTGCTTGCTGTCTTTTGCTGCTTATCCCCTAGGATCTCTGATTTCCTCTGTGCAAGAGGAAATTATGACAGACATTAGGTTTGTAAACCATGCATGACAATATTATGTTAGTTCCCCTTTCAACCATAGTTTTAGGGTCTTTCTCTTTTCTCATCTCAAAACAATTCAAAAACACAATAATAAGGATAACGCGTGTTGTATGCTACGAGCCTTAAGCTATTTGAGAAAAGGTTGCTGGAGGGTTACCCTCCAGTAATCTGGATGCTTAGTATGGTACCCTTAGGGTGACATGCGACGTAGTCACTCTCAGATCACAAGTCTTTAGTGCAGTACAAGGTGCAAACAGACAAAAAAACATTTATTTTGTAAAAAACTCAAACAAACATTCAAACTCTATTTTTGTCCGCTTGGACTCTTAATCAGGAAAACCCTTTCATAAGGAGATAAAAACTGTCAGACAAGCTTGTGTCTTTCGTAGCCCGAACTACGTTTGCTCTGATCTTTGATGCTGTATCAAAGTACGTAGGCATAGGATGCGATATCCTAGCGAGCGACCTTCCCCTCCTTTCCCGTAGGTAGGCGAACTACGTTGACTCTGATTTCTCGTTCCAGACGGGAATACGTAGGCATAAAGTGCGATACTCTGTCGAGTCATTTTATTTTCTTTTTAACCCAGACCTGTAGAGTATATAGAATAACATACCCTTAGATAGAAAACAAGCGTGGATCCCGTCGAGTACGACGGACGTGAGGGGTGCTAATACCTTCCCCTTGCGTAACCGACTCCCGAATCCAGGATTTGGTTGCGATGACCATTCCTTTCCCTCTTTGCATTAGGTTTACTCTGAGCGTTTCCTTTCCCTCTTTGCGCTAGGTTTACTCTGAGCGTTTCCTTTCCCTCTTCTAGGATAAATAACGCACGGTGGCGACTCTTATGTCATAGCCGGCGCCGATTTTCGCAGTAGCGACAGCTTCAATTTCTCTTGATTTGGCCTGGAACTCAGAATTCGATTTCTACTTGCAGCTCTGAATTTTCAATTGCTCTATCTGCTACCAGCATCAAACTCTTCCAAAAAAAATGGCTGAACACACTCAACAACTTATATAGAACTCATTAGAATCATCTAGAACTTTCTCAAAGCTTCAGAATGAGAAATTGGATTTTCAAATTTTCCTCAAAATCTCATTCACACCAGTCACGATTCCCTCTCTGTTTTGGCCTCAACAAGCTTGCATTCAACTTCTCATGAGATATTGAACATGAATGGTGGTGATTCTCCCCTTGTTTCAATCCAATGGCTTATGTATGTTATGTTACTTCATCATGAAGAAACAAAGAAAAAGGGCATGATATTGGACTCAAATCAAAATTCTAATATTGCCAAAGTTTCCAAAATGCCTTTTCCATTCAAAAAATGATATTATTTTGCTTCATTTGCACACAAAATGATTTATTTGAATTTTTGGTCATTTCTGCCTTTTTAATTCTTCCTTTTTCACAACTTCTTGAACCAAGTCTCTCATTGAGCCATTTCAACGCCTCCTTGATGCATGGTCATGGTTAAAACCCCATTTTGAGCAACTTTCAAGTTGAACAAAATTTCATTTGAGATGTCTAAGTTGGTGAAAATGACCCATAATCACAACTTCCCAAAATACCCTTGACTTGTCAAAGCCATAACTTGAGTTCTAGAAATCATATCAAGGACTTCTAGTACTCTATAGAAATCTAAGAGACTAATCAACAACATTCATGTTGACCAAAAGTTCATAGGAATAATTCTTATAGGGCAAAAGTGTCATGCAAGTTGGGTAACTTTCAAACTCCAAATACACATGCCTTAGATGACTTGTAACTTGTCTGGCTCATAACTTGAGTTCTATAAACCCTATCAAGGACTTATAATACTCAAATTAAAGCTAATATCATGCCCTACAAAAATCATTTTGGGGTCAAGATGAGATGACAATCATATCTTGAGTTAGATTTCCTTGAAGACAGGGGTCAAACTAGGGGATTTTACACTGTCAAGTCTTAGAAACCCTAGCTTGAAACTTCTCAAACTCTTCAATCATGATGAGTTAACCTTGGAATCATCCTTAGAACATCTCAATGTATCAATCCATGTTCACATGGCTCTTGGATTAGATCTCAACCTTCATCAAATCATCAGTTGACTTAGGGTTGACCCAGTCAAACCCTAGTTGCACCACTCATGGCTGAGCCTTCTTAATCTTGCACAATGACCTGTCTAGGCCTCAAAGTGATCTTCAACACTTCTCATGAGCTCTCTCAAGACCTCAAGTCCATTTCCATGACCTCAGAATCATCTGATGGCTTTCTACAACTCTCGAATTAGGAGACACACACTCTTGGTTTCAATCACTCTCTCTGAGGATCTTTTAACTTCTCTGACAAGGATATCAACCCTTGAACACTTGAATAACCTTCTTAGCTAGCCTTGCAGTCTTGTGTAGCTCTTAATTGGTAATCATACCTCTTGATCTCCTGCATACATGTCAATGAAATGCAAATGATAATGCTAATGTGAATGAAATGACACATAAGCTAGGTGAAGAAATGTTTGGCAAATTTTGGGGTGCAACACTCTCTGGAGTTTTTGTTGCGTTTTTGTTTTGTTTTTGTTTTGTTTGTTGTTCGGTTGCGTTTGATTTTGTGGGGGAGGTGTTGCTTGGTCTTTGTTGTGGTAATTTTTATTATTATTGTGTTTCGGTACTTTGGGGCGTTTGTAATTTTTATATATATTAAAAAATAATTTTTATGATATATTATATGTTTGATTAAAAAATTTTATAATATTTTTTATCAAAAAAAATTTATCTTTATGGTTTAATGTTTTTTCAAATATCAAAATTTTAAAAATTCACAAAAATTTGAAGAAATTTTAAATTATGTTTTTTGTACAAATTAATTTAGAGATATATTTTTAAATATTTATGTAATTTTGACAATGTTTTAATTTTCTATAATGTATATTGAAACTATTGAATATCAAAACTAATCTTTTTATTTAATAAACAATGAATTTTAAAACATTTCACACTTTAAAAAAAGTTTTCAAAGATATTATTTTTAAAAAGTAAGAAAAAAATTCATTTTAAAGTTAAAACTATGGGCGCTCAATGTAATGTCTAACACCACCTACTTTTGCAAACATCTAGATTGAGAATTTCTAGTCCTATTTTATTTTTAAAAAAATGTACTTTTTAAATATATTAAATAATTAATATATATAGACAGTATATAGATTAAATGTATTGGTTGTTGAATTAAAAATATTTTTTTCTTATAAATAAAAACCTAGAGTGTACTACTTAATCCATTCTAGAATAACAATCTTATCTTCAATTTTACACTAATTTAAAAAGAAAATAATGAATAAATAAATTATATTATTATTATTATTATTATTATTATTAATATTATTATTGTTATTATTATTATGAAAATGTACAAATAGATTGATATTAGTTTAGTGTGTGTTTATATACATATTTAGATTTAGATATGTATTGGAAGTGGCGTTGCCGCAACATTTTTTTAGTAAAAGTTAGTATAAGTCAAACTAATAATTTTTATGTCATTGATATTAGAATTAAGAATAATTATATTAATAAATTTTCTTTAAAATATTGTTTTAAAAAATAAAATAAAATTATGTTAGTAGAACAACTTAAATAATTGTTAGTCAAACTACTAGAATATTGGTTATTATAATAATTTAGATGATACTTATTTTGATTAATATAAAAATAATAAGTTATAAATAATAATATAGATGATATAGTGAATAGAATAGAGCCTTCCAAACTCTATAAATACACCGAAGACCTTAGTTAAAGCTCATACACAAAATTGAATTTGTGCAATGGCTACAAATCAGGAAGAGGTGAAACTTATTGGAGTTGTGGGAAGCGCATTTGTGATGGGTGTTCAAATTGCTCTGAAATTGAAGGGAATTGAATATGAATTTATTAAAGATGACTTGAACAACAAGAGTGAGCTTCTCCTCAAATACAATCCAGTTTATAAGAAGGTTCCAGTTTTTGTTCACAATGGGAAACCTATATCAGAATCTCTTGTGATTATTGAGTACATTGATGAGACATGGAAGCAAAATCCCATTTTGCCATCTGATCCTTACCAAAAAGCTCAAGTTCGATTTTGGTCACAGTTCATCCAAGACAAGGTAAATTTCTATCTTTTTCATTAATATGTCCAATATTCGGCACGAGTTCATTGATATAAATGATACTAATGAGTGGTGATATTTTTAATGATCAGATTTTTATACCTTTTATCAATGCTGCTCGTGCTGTTAGCGACGAGAAAGAACGTGACAAGAATCTAGCAGAATCATCAGATGGTCTTCAGTTTCTTGAGAATGAGTTGAAGGATAAGTTCTTTGGTGGAAAAGAGATTGGTCTTGTCGATATCGCTGCTATGTTCGTAGCTTTCACGCTCCCTTTGCTTCATGAAGCAGCAGGGTTTAACTTGTTCACTGCTGAAAAGTTTCCAAAGCTTTACAAATGGAGTCAAGAATTTCTCAATCATTTAATTGTGAAGGAAATCGTGCCACCAAAAGAACCTTTTTTGGCCTATTTCAAAGCTAGAATTGAACTTCGTCTTGCTGCTTCAAAATAGATTCAAAATTTCATGTTTGTGAACTGTTTTTATCTGTCATTGAGTTTTTTCTGTTAGAATCTTCATTTTGATATCATGTTTTTTGTTCCGGGATTTCTCGTCGAGTTTGAAATTCAATAATATTGTTGTCATTTTGGCATTTTTTTATCAATAAAGTGTTTACAGTTGTTCTTTTAATTTCTTGGTTCAAGTTATTTAGACTAACTAGCCTTTTTCATTATTTTTCTATACTTTATAACCGAATAAAATTGTAATAACAAAATCCTAATATCGAATAAGCATGGCAAAAAGAGTTTGATTTTCATAATCATAATATCAATGAATAATAATAAGCATGATATTGTCAAAAATATGAATGATCCATATTCATAATGCCCTACTAAAAATAATATATTTTATGACAAAACATTCACGTTGATCCACCAATAATCAAGGTATATGTCCTAGCAACGTCATCATTTATTAATTTTAAATACATACAACATATACCATCCGTTATTACCAAAACTGAATGAATATAATTACTAGGGAGTTTGCTTCGAATCTCATTTCCTGCATTTTATGTTTTTTTAATTGATTAAGGGTCACATAGCACCTTTTCCTTTTTCCCTTTTTATTTATTTTTAATTTATATTAAACATATATACACGGCGCTATGGGACATTCATATATATATATATATATATATATATATATATATATATATATATATATATATATATATATATATATATATATATATATATATATATATATATATATATATATATATATATATATATATATATATATATATATATATATATATATATATATATATATATATATATATATATATATATATATATATATATATATATATATATATATATATATATATATATATATATATATATATATATATATATATATATATATATATATATATATATATACATACATACATAAATATGTATATACATAAATATATATATAGTTTTTTATTTTTATTATTATATTCGTTCAATTTAATATACAGTTTAATATAAAAATCGACAGGTTATTCAATTGATTGAATACTTTAGAGAACTATACTCTAACTGTTAATTTTCCTATTAAACAACACTCTAACTTCGTCGTCATTCTCTTCACAAGAACCCTCACTATGCTAAAAAAGACCTTTAGCAGCACTTTTTTTTTCCTTTAGAAGCTCTTAAAAGAGCTGCTAAAAACGGTTTTTTTAAGTAAAAAACGCTGCTATAGGCCCACTTTTAGAAGCGCTTTCCCAGAAAAGCGCTCTCTTTTTCCCCACCTTTAGCAGCGCTTTTCAAAAGCGTTGTTTAAAGTGTATTTGCTGAATACCTTTTAGCAGTGCTTTTTCAAAAAAGCGCTCTCTATTCCCCCACCTTTAGCAGCGCTTTTCAAAAGCCCTGCCTAAAGTGTATTTGCTGAATACCTTTTAGCAGCGCTTTTTCAAAAATGCGCTCTCTATTCCCCCATCTTTAGCAGCGCTTTTCAAAAGCGCTACCTAAAGTGTATTTGCTCAATACCTTTTACTAGAACTTTTCTTAATAAAAGCGCTGCCTATGCCCCCACCTTTAGCAGCGCTTTTATAAGCGTTGTCTTTTCCCCCCTATAGCAGCGCTTTCAGAAGCGCTTTCATAGGTCCCCCATTTAGCAGCGTTTTTTCAAAAAAAGCGTTGTGTTTTCTTCACGTCATTGAATTTCTTTTCCAAGAAAATCACTTTTTCATAGCGTTTGTTTTTTGTAAAAGCGCTGTCCATTTTGCATATTTTTATGTAGCGATTTTTTTTTAATTATGTTGCACAATTCTTTATAATATTTTCCATAAACCTGTTTATAAAAAATAAATTCAGCATAGGCCTTTATTTCAACACCATGGCCTTATAAATACCATAACAATTCAACACATAAACTTGCTTACAATCATTGTAATTCAACACATAAACCTGCTTATAATCATTGTAATTCAACACAAGTCGATCCTCACAACAACTTCACACATACATTCACTATACATATAATTACAAAACCGATAACTTCACAAATACATTCACTATACATAATTTTACAAATTCCATATTTCTGAATCCTCACAACAACTAACTTCTAGATCGAATTATATCAACAAATTCCAAAACTACATACGACTTCCAGAACTATAATTATCCAGTAGTATATACATAACATCACAACAACACAAATCTCTTTAAACTCCGATCAAATGACAGAAAGACAATATATAAACTTTATACAATTCTCATATGAAAAATGTATTGACACCATTCCTCCTTAATTTCTTCCAATTTGTCTTCGAGTAAGTACCACACTAGAATTCATCAAAGTACTACATAATATAATATAATATGCATGATTTAGTTTTAAAACTAATTACTCGGATGAAATATCGGTTAAATATAAAGATAAATCATATAACTCATAAATTCATACCGTGTTTGAAATCTCTATTTGACCCGAATGAATAATTTCCTTCATAAACCTCAATACAAAATATCTGCAATCAATCCCATTCCACTGACGAGGACACTGTAAATGGAAAAAATAAACGAATATATATATATATATATATATATATATATATATATATATATATATATATATATATATATATATATATATATATATATATATATATATATATATATATATATATATATATATATATATATATATATATCAGGATATATATTTTACCTAGTTTTATCAAGTAGAATCACTATAATAGTAAAAATTGTGAAAGTATACCTGCACTCTGATCTAGCTAATGTTGTTAGCCTTCCTTTTTGGCACTGTTGCTTGTCTTTGTGATCGAAATATTTGTATAGCTCTAACATAATATAAACGAATATTTAGAACAATCTCACATAATAAATAAAGATAATTATTCAGAAAAATATATCTCATCACTTACGTATCAACCATATTCTCCATATCAGGATATTTTGTTTGATCACAATCCAATGAATCCAGATAATACACTATTTCTTTTATCTTATTAATCGAAACCAACAACCAGTGTCCTCTGTAAAATAAGATAAAAGTTTAGACGAAAATGTTATATAGAATGTCAAAAAACGAATAATTATAATAAATAAATTTAAAATAAAATCTAACCCATGGCCACTATTATATGACAAAAAATACAACTTCTCTGTATCTATTGCCATAAATTCTTGGACTAAGTAATCTCTGACTACATCTAGAGTGTGATCGATTGATCGTGCGTTGATACAACTAGAAGATAAGAATGCAAATCTCTTTCTCAATTATTGCGAGACCAACAACTAGTCATACAAGAACCTTAAATAAAAACATAATCAACATTAGAATATTCATTGAAATGAGCAAATAAATTGTCCAATTATTTAATTAAAATTGATCGTAGTACCTGATGTATGAATGTATAACACCGATGCCTAATTCAGAATGTTGGAAAATCTGATCCAAATCCTCTTTAGCAATTGTTTCGGCATAAGTAAAATCGAAAATACCTTCATTCATAGGTATTTGACGAATGCCACCCTCAACCACATCTGTTGTTCCTACATATGTTTCAAGGCACAACCTAAATCGAGGAACATATGCTTTTTTTGCCTCAGTGTTTTATTTCTTGGACACCTTGATAGATTCAGGCATCTTACGCTTGCTGACTTGTTGCAACTTTTGAGCATGAACCTAAAAGTCATATAAGTTAGGTAATTAATGTATAAGATCTTAAAGCTATTGAAATTGGAGGATATATCAATTAATGTAGTAGTACCTATTTTTTTGATGCAGCTGACTCTGTTTCTCGCATAATCCCCTTATCTTTTGATTTGGATTTTGTAGGAGTCTAAGATCATCATGGAAATAAATGGTACGTAAATGTAATAATAACTTACATGTATGGACCGTAAAACATTTCAATGCTACAATATTTATAATGGTGTTCAACATACCTCATCATCTATGAAAATGAGATTTGACGGCCATGCAACATACGATCCTATTACGTCTCCCACCAAGGTTGCATCTGAAACATTTTCAGGTATAGGCAATAACGCACCACCCTCTAAAGCAATATCAATTGATACTTTCAAAAATCCAGCATGGAGCAGTTTATACTTTTGCAACATATTAAATTTTTATTAGTTAACATCTCAAATTTTTTTGTTTTTAGTAATTTTTTTTCTTAAGCTTTTTTATTTTTATATTTAGTGTTTTTTTAAATTATTATTTTTGTTTCAGTATTTTTTTTTTAACTTTTAATTTTTTTTCTTTAACTTTTTAACAGAATAAAATGTTATTCACGAAATTCTCATATCAAATAAGTGTTATGGGATATTTTATCTATGGAGCATTAAACATTGTGAGACTTTCCTTTCTATAGCAACACCTTTGTGATGTTAGTGTATGAGACACTTTTAGTGAGGAGAGAAAGAGAGATAATAAGGAAATAAGGATTTATTTAATGAATTGTTACAAATAATAATAGATACTATGATTATTTATATACAACCCTAATTGGGCTTGGTTAATACAACTTACATTTTATTTAAACATTATATCTAATTAAATCTAATCTTATCAAATCTGTAATCCAAGTTGTCGAACCTATTCTAATCATATTCGATCTGAACTATTCCTAATATCTTTCTCAAATTCAGGAATCTGTGGATCTTCAATTTATTGGTGAAAATGTCGGCCAATTGTGCTTCACATGAGCAGTGCCTAACTTCAAGTTCACATTCATTTATCGTTTCCCTTAAGAAGTGAAATATAGCTTCGATATGCTTACTTCTTCCATGTAGAACTAGATTCTTCGCTAGATTTATGGCTGACTTGTTGTCGATCTGTAGTACCATAGGTTTCTTCACTTCGACCTCCATTTCTTCAAGCACATTGTTGCGGTGGAAATAGGATCACAAACTATTAATGAGTTTGAATCGCAATTCAATTCACAACCGCTCTTTGATTTATCCGAAGGAAAAGGTCAAAAG